AACATACTCCGATGTTGAAAAATGCAGGGCGAACTACAATTGACTTCCGAGCAACCAATTCAGAAGGAAGCGAGTCATATATATCGTGAGGCAATGGTATCGACACCTGAATAGTAATATGGTTCAATTGAGGGCATAAGTGATGATTGCTCAAGAATAGTACAACGAGAAAACCAAAAACACGACTTGTTGAGTCTTTGCTATTTGACAAGCCTCTTGTTGATCATGGACGCACGTAACAGCCGAGAAAACACCTTATATTTCAATGCTTCCTGCTGTTTTGCCATGTTTTAATGTACTAGAAACGAATTGTATCCTTCCCCTGCCCCACTTTTTTTCTGCAGAAAGTCCACTACTGATATGCATCTAACCCATCGTTTGAGTAAAAAGATCAGAAAGTAAACTCACATTTATTCCTGTCCTATGACCAGAGACGAGAGGTATACAGGTGCGAGATAGTTGTGACGGAGCTCGTATTAATGTAAAAACTACTCGTGCCTCAAGCTGCCGCCAAGCTTCCCAGGCATCTTCAGCCATGCCTCTTTCATCACCGTAGGCTGAGAGGAAAGAAAACACAGTCAAGAGAAGATCTTTCGCACATCCTGAAAGAAGTTATTCTAACTGCATTCTACCTAGATTGACCTGAACCAAAGTTCCTGTAAGAAATGCTGGTTAATTATAGCTCCAGGACTTGGCGAAATTAGGAGACCATTGGAAAACATTTGGAAAACTTGGTGTGGTACACTGCATAAACTCGTATAGAGCTGCTATTAGACTTATTCACAAACAACTGAAAGGTAAGCAGGCGTGAGCTTACAGAATAGGTGGACCTGAATAGTGAATAATGGCTTATTGCGCTGGCCTCTGCCGGCTGTCACATTAGTTATACCATATGAAATTGTGCGCTTGAGAATTTCAGCCTACTCTATATCTCACAGTCAGCGTCTGGCGCTTAACCTGAAGGTAACAAAGGCCAGAAAAAACAATCCATGTTTATCTGGCCAAGTTTGCACAGAAATCTGAAGAGTAACGGTTTCGCTTTTGCAGAAGATCTGTCTCTTTGGAGAATCTTCCTCTTTAGCGGATTTCTCATTCGGTCGCGAAGTATGATGACGCCATTTCTTCCGAGTGACTGACGTCATTTCCTGGTCATTGTGAAAGCCAGATATTTCCAAGTCTGTATGCAGCGTGTCAAGCTGGCGCTGTTTAGCTGCGTCCTCTGGGCCGCTTTCCAGGGCAGCTCGAATTGGAGGCAGGCCTTCGGAGAAAGTTGAGCTAATCTTCTTTTGAGAGTGCGGTATGCATACTAAATGACACTTTTGATCAGAATCGCGCAGGTTTCCGGTTTCCGAACGTAATATGGCCAGCTGATGTATAAGACAGTGTTCTCATCATCCCGAACGATTCTGACACCTAAACATGGAACGCGTGGTTGGCACGATGAGAGCCGACCCATAATCTAGCCTGGACCGCGCGAGCAGGAAAAGGGGACCCAGTTGCCACTACCACACTGCACTTTATCGTGTTCGGGGAACAGGACTGCAATCTGAGAAAGAAAACAAATTATTATACCAGCTTACCATCAGCGACAGGCCATCCTCGGTAGATGGTGCTGAGTATAGAAGTAGCAGCGATGGTAATTGCTTGCGAGAGAATAAAGTCAGACCTCAATTGAACATGAAAGTAAAGATGAGCTGATGAGGTTCTGTGGAT